GGTCAGACAGAGTTTGAATATAACAAGGTATTAAGGGTTTAACTGGTGTTCTAATGGGGGTGGGATAAAACAGTCAAACTAAGTCCATAAAACAGGGGTTTTCTTCACACTCTGCATCCGAAGTGCATAGCAAAAGTGCAGATCCTTTGTCAGAGCATTTAAAGGGCCAGAGCCAGTCTAAAAAAATCCACTATGCCCAAATAACGTATTTAAAGGGCAAAATCTTCCAGGGGCCATAGTCATACGGCAAGGGGCTGGTAATTAGTCCTCTCCAGGCACAAGTGGTGAAGGGCACTTCGTCACGCCATCCATAAGTGGGGCTAGAGAATTAAGTGATGTGTGCAATTACTTCTATCTCTCCTGGCCAAGTGGGTACCATATGAGTAATGGACATGGCGATTTATGGGTGGACATCAAAAAATGTAACGACAGGTAAACCCATGGGTTCAGTGTATTATTCCAGTCACAATGTTCAGAAAAGTACCAGTCTATGAAGCTTACTGAACAATAGACAAATACCTTCCACATAGTTTATATCATATGTTTGAGTACATTATCATACTATACATTTGTGAAGTATCTACTAAGGGTGTTTAGTCTTTCCCTGTAAGTACTAGTTATTGGTGAGCATGTGACCTCTGTAGGTGATAGAGGAAGCTCAGCAACCAAATACCAATTTAATGAGCTTGTGACATCTGTGAAAGAGGAAGCTCAGTAACAAAAAACAATCTGAAGAGCGTGTGACCTCTTTAAAATAAGAAGCTCAGTAACAAACACATTTTTGAAAAGCGTGTGTCCTCTGCCAAAGAGGAAGCTCAGTCATAAAAACTATTTGATGAGCAACTGACCTCTGCAAAAGGGAAACTCAGTAAGTAAAGGATCAGTGCATGACCTCTGCCAAAGATGAAGCTTGGTAACAAATATCTTTATAAAGAGCTTGCATACTCTGCAAAAGAGGAAGCTTGGTAACAAAAACTAATTTGGTGAACGCGTGTCCTCTGTGATAAAGGAAGTTCAGTAACCAAATAACAAAATAATGAGTGTGTGACCTATGTGACTAGAGGATGCTCAGTAACCAAATGTCCTGAGCACATGTGCAGAACTAAAAAAACAAGTGTAGGTGTAAATACACCAACATGTAATGCAAGAATAAATGGTTACACCAGTGGTAGTCAACCTTTTTCTACCTACCACCCACCCACTAATGCATCTTTCTTGATGGAAAAATTTCCTTACAGACCACCAGTTTTCGCGCAAGTGCAGAATATTTTTTAGAAAGGAGGGTGCTTTAAAAAAAAAAAATGTACGTACATTTATCTTTTTATTTCTACTTTATGCATGTTTGTAATGTTTTTAACTTTATAAAGTTTAATGAGAAAACAAAGTAAATTGAAATTACCTTTACTAGTGATTAATGAGATCCTTGAGGCTGATGCTGCGAGACTAAATATTTGATATCTGGTTCAATTTTCATAAGGAACAAACAAAGGTCACCTCTTTCGGTGATATTCAGACAATTTCTCTGTTTGCTCATAATATGATTTGTGCATCAGCTCCCCTCCTCTCCCTCCTCAATTTCCCTCCCCACCTTTTTTTCCCCTTTTTTTCTATTTTTTTAACCTTCCTTATAGCAATGCCCAGTAGGAAGGCTAAGCTAGGTAGCCCACTTACTATTATTAGCCAACAACAATTCTCTCCTTTTCCACACTCACAGAGAAACACATACGCACAGACAAAGATACACACACTCACACATACACACATATACTTACAGACACACATACACACTCACACATACACACTCACACATACACTTACAGACACACACACTCACAGACAAACACACACACATACACTTACAAACACACTCACACATACACTCACAGAGAAACACATACACACAGACAAACATACACACACTCACACATACACACACACATATACTTACAGACACACACACATACACACTCACAAATACACTTGCCGACACACATATTCTTAATATTAAATGTCCACCCAGCCTCCCTACCTGGAGATCTGGTGTGGATCTGTCCCTGGGGTCCAGTGGGGCTTCACTTCGGCGGTCAGCAGAGTTCTAATCCGAGGCGATGAGGGAGCTCTAACTTCTCTGCTCTGCTCCCTCTCAGGCTGTCTACTGATGCCAGTAGCCGGAACATGACGTCATATTCCGGCTCCCGTGGCATCAGCAAACATTGCGCGAGGGAGCAGAGCAGAGAGGATAGAACTCCCTCGCCGCCTCGGATTAGAACTCTGCAGCACCGGGGGTCCAGAAGGTGGCATGGCAGGAGGGAGCGCTTCCCTCCTGCCGGTCACTGAAATCTTGCACCCCGAAGCCGCTCGCGCCCGCCTACTCTAAAAAGGAGAAATCCTCTCTAAAAGAGGATGTAGCTGCCGAAATCCCTACTGCCCACCTGGAATCCTGAAATGCCCACTAGTGGGCAGTAGGGACCAGGTTGATGACCCATGGGTTACACAATAAATATTTCTGGAAATTAAGAAATTAAAAACAATTAGTGTAGTATATAAAAATTCAGACTTATATATAATATGTGTAATGTAAACTTACATACTTCTGAGTCGATTTAGGCTGACTCAGACTTAAGCGCTTGATATAGGTGCTTCTCTGGCAAAATTGGGTTCTCTCCATTTACAACAAGTGCTCCAGAAGCTTATGTAAATAATTTTAGCTTTATTAAGAGTAAATGGAGTAAAAACACAATATTCCAAATGGAAGAAATAAATAAATCTATAAGAAATCGCACTAAAGCATTTCAACTCCTCACGGGTCTTTTTCAAAGTAAATACAATTCTTGAAGTCAAAGGTCCCCTTTTAAATCATGCCGGCATGCTTCATCCGGGTCTTTCCTCTCTCCGCCCACTTGGCTCCATCGCAATCACGTAACTTACGCATAGCATTGCGCCATTACATGTCTTATCTGGAATCAGAATTTTAACATAAAGTAAATTAATTAATAGTTCAATCTTTTAATTTAAATAACTGCGTAAGTATTTAAGTTGTAAAAAATCTTCATTCTAAAATACAATTCTTATTATTTATTTATTATAAAACCTTTATATAAAGCACTTTCAATAATTAACTACCTTGTAAAAAAAACATACATATGATATGTTCTTATATGTTTCTCCTTGGTTTCATTGTTAAATATGCATGGTCTTATACAATGTATATATTTATTTCTAGTGTTTTCTATAAAGGTTTTAGATTAAATAAATAATATGGACTATTGAGAAAAGTTCCTTTAAAAAATAATATTTTTGAACCTTAACCATGTGTATTCAGTTGCATATGTATGGCTCATTTTCCACCTTCTTGGTAAAAAGCTGTCGTAAACTGTTGTTAGTAACAAAACTAGTATGGCTACACGCAAAACTACCAGCCACTTGCACACTAGCTGTTACTGGTAAAGTACAGAAAACACGCTGTGCCAGTTGCCACCAGACCAATCATTAATTGGCAGCAAAAATGCTTACCAATTCTTCACACTATGATTGACGTTAGCAGGAAACAGAGACAGTGTATAGAATGTATTAAACTGTGATTCTTGTTTTATGTATAGTATAGTTTGGATGAGATCTTCTGGATAGTCTTTTCTGCTTAAAGGACCACGATAGTGCCAGGAAAACATACTTGTTTTCCTGGCACTATAGTGCCCTGAGGGTGCCCCCACCCTCAGGGTCCCCCTCCCGCCGGGCTGGATGGCAAGGAAAGGGGTTAAACTTACCTTTATTCCAGCGCCGGGTGGGGAGCTCTCCTCCTCCTCTCCGCCTCCGATCCTCCTCTTCGGCTGAATGCGCATGCGCGGCAGGAGCTGCGCGCGCATTCAGCCGGTCTCATAGGAAAGCATTTACAATGCTTTCCTATGGACGCTTGCGTGTTCTCACTGTGATTTTCACAGTGAGAAGCACGCAAGCGCCTCTAGCGGCTGTCACTGAGAGAGCCGCTAGAGGATTTGGAGGCTGGATTAACCCATTTATAAACATAGCAGTTTCTCTGAATCCTAGAGGGACCTGGCACCCAGACCACTTCATTAAGCTGAAGTAGTCTGGGTGCCTAGAGTGGTCCTTTAAGGAAAGTATTGTTCTAATTTTTTTCGCATGATTTGTAGTTTTTGCACACAGTGAGGGAGTTTAAGCATGCATGGGATGGGCATAAGGCTATCCTAGATATAAAGCCAGGGACTAATGACAGTATTTAGAAAATTGGGCAGACTTGATGGGCCAAACGGTTCTTATCTGCCGTCACCTTCTATGTTTCTATGTTTATTAAGGGGTTTGTGTTTGGTATATATTTCTTTGCACTATTTTTGTTTCATGTCAGATATAAATCTAATTTAAGGTTAATTTCTGCTTTGTGAAATGTTTATTTAAATGACACATGCACTTTACATTTTTCAAGAATATTGTTATATCAATATTGTTATATCATGTGTTTAGCATTTTTATGTAATCTTATTGCAGTTTGTTTATACGGTTTCATATGCTTTAAGGATTTAAATGTAAAGCAACATATCTGACATGTTATTTCCTACAGGATTTAGAGATTTTGCTGTCAAGGTCTTGCACCAGGCAAGAGGCAAGTGGTATCCACTTGGTTACCAATCAATAAGCAACGGTTAGCGGCTTCCATAGTGAATAATGAGAGCTGTTAGCTGATACTCAGCAATTGGCTTTAAATAGCAGTAGCTAACAGGCATGCTAGTGAGAAGCGGTTGGCAGGTACAAAGTAGTGATAGCACTAAAAAAGAGCCCTTGAGATGTAAATTCGATGTTGTGATACTTAAAGATTGGATTCAACCAAAGACCTGAACAATTACCTATATACAAATACACAAAAATAAGCCCTTCACTCAAACTCCCACTTCTCCTGGGCTGCAGCAATGACCATAGTATACATCAGCCCCAATACATACAATAAAAACTAAAGGGAAAAGAAGTTACATTCACTCTATTCCAAATTCCTATGTATATTTATGTCAATTGTGGTTTTTAGTTTCACTCCAATGGCCATTAGATGGAAGCCCACCTGCCATGTCAAGGCAAACCTCTACACTAAAATTTCATCTTGCTTGCTTCAGCTTAAAGGATCACTATGGGGTCAGGAACACAAACATGTATTCCTGACCCTATAGTGCTAAACCCACCATTTAGGTGGCTTGCATTGGATTGGTTAAAATCGGCACGGGGCGTCACCAAATGCCGTTTTGGCCAATCAGGACCTCCTCATAAAGAAGCATTGAATCAATGCATCTCTATGAGGAAAATTCAGCGTCTCCATGCAGAACGTGGGGGCTGCTTACTGTGCAGCCCTGAGCCAGGAAGCACCTCTAGTGGCCATCTAAGGAGTGGCCACTTGGAGGTATCCCTAGGGGCAATGTAAACACTGCCTTTTCTCTGAAAAGACAGTGTTTACATAAAAATGCCTGAAGGGAGCTATTATACTCACCAGAACAACTACATTAAGCTGTAGTTGTTCTGGTGACTACAGTGTCCCTTTAAGGCAAAATCTCTAATGAGACAGAGAGGGGTATTTTTTAATCTCCTACATACTTATTAACCCTTAATAGGGAACACATGGGATGGGTGGCAGCACTGTGGATGGCTGTGTGATACAAAAGGTAAATGCAAATGAATTACCTATATTAACCTTTTTTGTGGAGCACTAATTGCAGGCTATTATCAAAATAGGTTGTAATACTTAAAAAAAAAAAGGTAGATAAATAGTGTTCAGCCCCAATGCTGTTATTGCCTATTTGAAGCATTATACGTAATGCAATCCAGTCATTGTTTTATTAGGTTATAGCTTTCCACCGAGAAATACTTCAAGAAATTCAATTCAGCTTCCCCTGAATCTTATCATTAACATTCAGCCCAGATTTCTTACCTACAACTTAGCTAACTTCTGCATGTAAAGGCCTCCTTCATCAGTTTCTCACTCACTCACTCCTTTTTGCCTTTTTTGTTCCTTGTCATATTGCAACTTCTGTTTCATTCCGCCTGACCTCTGTATTCACCCTAAATGACTATATGTGTTACATAACGCTACTGAGTCCAGACTAGCACTTACTGTTGCTTTTGTTGTTGGTCATTTGTTTTGTAATTTCAGAAACAAATTATCTCCAACTTTTATTAAAAATAAACTGTACAGTACTGTTAAACTTCCTAATGCAATTAACATTCAGACATTTCTAGCTGGTCACTCGTAAAGGAACAATCAAAACACCATAACCACTACACATTGCTTAGGAGCAGCGCTAACCCATACGATTAAAGGCTCAGATGATTGTTCTCATTCAGTGAGTTAAGCCCTGCAGCGGTGCCTGATAGACCCCAGATAAGAAGTCAAACTATTCTAGCTGGGGGGCATCATGATCTAGTAATCAATGTGCTTGGAGTGTTTCTTTAAAAAGATACAGATATTAATATTTTTGGATAAGCTTTTAAAATGACTTTAAAATATTAAAATATTAAAAACATATTATAAAATTAATATATCAATATAGCAAATATTAAATCATTTTAAAACTTTATCCAAGAATATTACATCAATTGAAGAGCTTATCCAAAAATTTGAAACTGAAGCCTATGTTAGATGGTTAAAGAATGTTAAACTCTGCAAGCATAAAGCATACTGAATGGCTATAATAGTATTTTTTGGTCCCCCTTTGGCACATTGTTATCAGAGATTTTTGTGCAGAATAATGTTATACAATTTGTACATTTGTTAATGTATTGATTTCTTCCAACATCTTCATTTTAAAACGCATTGAAGAAAACAAGTACAAGCTGAATGATTGCCAGTAAAATAAAAATAAAAAGGCTTGGGAAACTTAAAAGTTGAAAAAATTCCATATGCCTCTGTGGCTATGGCCCCAGACATGTTATGCATGATAAAACACATGGGGTAATAAATAGATCTTAATAAATACACCTATTCCTGACTCCCAAAAATATAAAACTCATTCCTATCTGTTTTCTTTACCCAGATCCAAAGGTTTGACCGTTCGTTTGCTTCAAGAGTTTGCAGTTTCGGTAGTGAAGGTCATTGCACTCAGAATTCCTTTGCTTATGTTTTAACATGCTCATCTCCAGATATGATATGATTTGTAACCCTCCAATGATCTTCTAAGTTTCTCATCCAAAGGGGACTGCCAATAAACAAAATTCTTGCCCATGCATCTATGCGAACTGTCATGCGACCTTGACATGACTTTGAGCACTGTGCGTGCTGAACGCAGATAGATGGCAGATTGCTTTGTTTAAGTACAATTGCTTTGTTTTTCAGGAGGAGGCTGTTGGCAAAAAAAAAAAAGAAAGAAAATCAAATGGCTAATACAGTGCTGCGTACAGCAAGTCTAAGCCTGGGGGTTGAAAGACACAATTACCAATGTGACAAAGACACGATATAGGAAAGATGGAGGGACTCATAGAAGTCTAAAGGCCTTCCAAAATAGAGTACTTCATAGTACTTCAATGAAAGCATGGACTTGTGCCTAATTCCGTGTTCATCTCTGTTTTATTTATTTTTTATATTTTCTTTTTCAGGCACCACAAAGAATAAAGGGAGAGACAGAAGATGAAACACATGATGCAGCAAGACAAAGAATAACAATAAATACATTATAAACTAATGAATAAATGATGAATACATGATAAAAAGGCATTAATAAGACACCCAAAATAATCTTCTCAAATAAAAGTGCAAAAAGGGATATCATTTATTGTTAAAATTTATACAATGTCAAAATATTCTGCAGTGCTTTACAGTTATAGAAAGGGGAAGAGGTGAAGAAGGCCCTGCTCAAATAAATTTACAAGGAGTTTACAAGGATTATAAGGACTTAGTTTACAAGGATTTAAGGTAGGCAGATATATGTCGTTAGAGGGGCACTCCAAACCGTTAAAGTACTTTAGCTTGCTGAAAAGCTTTATGTGTAAATATACCAAAAGTGCAGATTTCAATAGACACGTACACATTCATAAATTAACCTGGTTATGCCCCCTTGGCTTTCAAGCAGACAACAGATTCTGTTAATTCCTGGTTTGGTTAACTATGTGGAGCTTAACTCCAGAGACAGCAATTGCTCAGAGCTCCTGCCTTGCAAAGACTTCTCATTGACCTGCATTGGGAAGTCTGTGATTGGACAGCCACAGAAAGTCTGGGCGGGGTTAAAAAGGGAGGGCTTGCAAAGACAGCAGACAAGAGAACTGCAGCTTTTTCAAGCTGTTTTTAGTTATATCGCCAATGAAAATAATGCACAATTAAATGCATTCATATTTTTTATTGGGGGTATATCTATTAAAACAGTGATATTTATTTATTTTATATATGGGCATTGGAGTGTCCATTTAACCATGGTGAATGGGATACTTACTGGTCAGATGGTCTAACCTGGATTTTGATTAGTCTATTCAATTCCTTCTTGCTGCATAAAAATAGTACATATTGTGCAACACTCTTCTTTTACTAGGAGATAAAAATTTAGGTAAACATGGTAAAGAAATGTAATTCCTTTAGTAGGAACAGATAAAGAATTTTTAGAAGTGACCTGGAAAATATTATTGTAATCATTGGAATATTATTATTAGAAAAAAGTGAAAAAACCCTCTATGCAAGTTTCTTATTTTTTAAGGTAACTTTATAATAAAGAGAGTGAATAATTGGCTTGCCTGACCTATATTTGATGATGAAAAAACTTTGAAGGCCCTGATGTAGAATTATTAATACTTATAGAGCATTTGGGCTTAGAGCCCTTGCATGAGGTGTTACAGATTGTGCCACATGGTGAGCTTTGCAGAGTGTGTGCCATGTCTAGCGTTGAACTTACATTTTATTACATCATGGTTTCTAAGATGCCAACATATTTGGCATTGGAACACATTAATAATTAAACTGGCCTGAAGCCAGTTTAAAAAGTTTAGGCAATTGAGATGTAAAACCGTACTTGGTGCTGGGAGACATTCCTGCTTGTTCCATAATATTATTTTAGAATGTTAATATTAGAATTGTACACTGCCCCAGATATGAGACAAAGTATGCCAGCTGAAACGTACAGAGAGAGTTAACTCGTTTATGAGAGCTTGCAATCTAGATACAGTGTTGGCACTAGAGGATATGAAACAAGGAGCGAAATAACTCGAAGTCTAATGTGAGAAGATAAAATAAGGCACAAGGAAATGAGAAACATCTGACAGACAATGACAGGAGAAAGAATGTATTTATTTTGTGATGTAGTTTATAAAGGAGGTTGGAAAAAAGTGAAAGGAAGATACTAACAAATCTAGCAATCATGTTTTGTTTCTTTTCCACCATGCACCATGTTTTGTTTCTTTTCCACGGACAACAGCTCAAGTAGCCTGCCTTTAGGTGTTTCCTCATTTAGATCTCAAGTTGGTTTTAGCTCATATTGTACCATTACAAAGTGAACCAGGTCATTTGCACATCAGACTGATCCCACCAAAAAGGGATGTGCAGATCGAAAATACAGGCCGGCTTTCTCTGCACAAGATATACAACAACCCCAAACAATTTCAGCCTTGTTATGCATCGTCAGCAAAGTATAGCTCATATCCCTCTAGGCACTGTGAGCAAGGGGTCCACGTCTGGATTATCCTTTCAATTTAGGGAGAGCAAAAAAGTAGCTTACACTTTGGTGGGTTTACTAATATGGGAATTATAACTCAAAATATAACACATATAAAGGTTGCACTTAATGGATTTGAGTCTTTGTTCAACGTAGATTACTATGTAACTATATGTGCCACTTAATACAAAGCAGCAAAGTTGACCAATCATCAATTTAAATACCACTGTATTAAAGATTAGATTTGTGCACAGCGGAAAAATATGTTTCTGCCGGACCAAATTATCTGAAAATCTAAAATGTTTCAGGAATTTCATGTATGTGGTGATTCGGATCCTCAGAATTTCATTAAAAAAAAATAAAAAATTCAGGAAACCATATCAGGCGAAAACAGAAAAAATGGGCCAATCAGTGTACTGTAAAATATATACATAATCTAAATATATTATATACATATCGATGCATTTTCCCACCACTTGGTTCATAGATCAAGTATGAAAAAGTAATCAATAGAGCAAAAAAAGTAGAGGAGCAGTACTACATATATATTCATATATAGCTGTTAATTATATAAGATATCAATATATATACAGTTAGGTCTGTAAATATTCGGACAATGACACAGGTTTTGTTATTTCGGCTGTTTGTCAAAATAAATTAATAATTTAGGGTTAAATAATGAGAAGAGGAGAAATGAAACAATATTTTTATTATCTTCATTTGCAGTGTTTGTCCAGGTTTCACCGTGTCTGAACTGGATTATGACCTCTCCCCTGCTGTCCTGCAACATGTCACTGCTTGCCTTTCTTCCATCTCTGACTGGATGTCCTCCCGCTTTCTGAAACTCAATCTCTCTAAAACTGAGCTCCTTGTCTTTCCTCCTCCTAATACTGATCCTCCTCTTTCGCTCTCCCTTCAAGTTTGTGGTACCAACATCAGCCCATCCTTGCAAGCGTGCTGTCTTGGCGTCATACTTGACTCTGGTCTCACCTTTGAGCCTCACATCCAGCATGTTGCCAAATCCTGTAGATTCCATCTTAAAAACATAGCCCGCATCCGCCCCTTTCTTGCACCAGATACTACCAAGGAGCTTGTCCATGCTCTAATAATTTCACGCATGGATTATTGTAACCCTCTCCTGCTTGGTCTTCCCAAAAGCCGTACTGCACCCCTACAGTCTGTAATGAATGCTGCTGCTAGACTGATTTTCCTCTCTAGTCGGTTCTCTCACACCTCACCCCTCTGCCAGTCCTTACATTGGCTTCCTGTGTGCTATAGGAGTCAATTCAAGGCACTAACTCACACCTATAAAGCACTGAACAACTCTAGCCCCTCTTATATCTCCTCACTGATCCACAGGTATGTCCCTTCTCGGTCTCTCCGCTCTGCCCGTGACCACCTCCTGTCCGTTGTCCGCACCCGTACGGCCAACTCGCGCTTGCAGGACTTCTCGCGGGCGGCTCCCTTCCTATGGAATAGCCTGCCTACCGCCATCCGACTCTCCCCTAGTCTTGCATCTTTTAAGAAGTGCCTTAAAACCCATCTCTTTAGGAAAGCTTATGGCCTCCAAGACTAACCCCTACCTCACATACCCGTCTCTTGCCCTCTCCTAAAGGGCAGCCCACCTTATTTGATTGCACATTCCTGTCCTAATGTGTTTTACACCCCACCTCCTATAGAATGTAAGCTCGATTGAGCAGGGTCCTCTTCAACCTATTGTTCCTGTAAGTTTATTTGTAATTGTCCTATTTATAGTTATATCCCCTTTGATAATATTGTAAAGCGCTACGGAATCTGTTGGCGCTATATAAATGGCAATAATAATAATAATAATTTGATTAATCTTTAACCCCTTAAGGACGGAGCCAAATGTACACGTTGTGAACAAAACAAAATGTAAACAAAACCTGTCATTTGCGCTACATGTCTGTCCAATCGTAATTCACCTCTTTCATAGTAAATGCACCCACCCTTATTATATATCATTTTATTCAGGGGAAACGGGGCTTTCATTTAATATCAAATATTTAGCTGTGAAACATAATTTATTATGAAAAAATGGGAGAAAATAAGATTTTATTTTGTGATTTTTTTTTTTAGTTCTACATGACATTTTAACTGTCAATGTCATAATACTGTTTGCTTTTACTGCAATAAAATACACATATTTGTATTCAGCAAAGTCTCACGTGTAAAACAGTACCCCATATGTACAGGTTTTATGGCATTTTGGGAAGTTACAGGGTCAAATATAGCAAGTTATATTTGAAATTGAAATTGAAATTCCGCCAGATAGGTTATGTTGCCTTTGAGACTGTATAGTAGCCCAGGAATGAAATTTACACCCATAATGGCATACCATTTGCAATAGTAGACAACCCAAGGTATTGCAAATGGGGTATGTCCAGTCTTTTTTAGTAGCCATTTGGTCACAAACACTGGCCAAAGTTAGCGTTAGTATTTGTTTGTGTGTGAAAAATGCAAAAAACGCCAATTTTGGCCAGTGTCTGTGACTAAGTGGCTACTAGAAAAGACTGGACATACCCCGTTTGCAATAACTTGGGTTGTCTTCTTTTGCAAATGGTATGCCATCATAGGGGTAAGTTTCATTCTTGGGCTACCATAGGGTCCCAATCTGGCGAATTTTAATGTGAAAAAAATGAAACACAAGCCATATATTTGATGCTGTAACTTTTGAAAACACCATAAAACCTGTACATGAGGGTTACTGTTGTACTCGGGAGACTTCGCTGAACACAAATATTTGTGTTTCAAAACAGTAAAAAGTATAGCAGCAATAATATCGTCCGTGTAAGTGCTGTTTGTGCGTGAAAAATGCAAAAAAGTCACTTTTACTGGCGATATCATCGTTGTAATACACTTTACTGTTTTGGAACACTAATATTTGTGTTCAGTGAAGTCTCCTGAGTAAAACAGTACCCCCCATGTACAGGTTTTATGGTGTCTTGGAAAGTTATAGGATTAAATATAGTGCTAGCAAATTAAATTCCCTTTACTTTCGGCATGGGTTGTCAGGCAGGTCCCACTAATTGTAATTAATTAAGATACCCAATTATGTAAAAATATTACATAAATATATATGTATATATATATATACTTATGTGTATATATATGTATATATATATATATCATTTTTTTTAAATATAGGTATATATATATATATATATAGTGATATATACGTATATATTTATGTATATAGATATATATATTATTTTGTTCTACATGTAGTTTGATATAAATATATATATATATATATATATATATATATATATATAGTATTTTGTTCTCCATAAGACGCTATTCTTTTTCCCCAAAAGTGAGGGGAAATGTCTGTGCTGCCTGGCGGTTTAATGAAGGTTTATTATTATTTCATTAGGACCAGCCCGCGGGATCGAAGGGAAGTGCACACTCTGAAGTGTGCATTACTTCAGTCCCGGCCGAAAACCGAACCTGAAATAGAAGTTCCTGGACCGCTGAGTGCGCCAGAAGCCGCCCACGCCCAAGACAGGCAAGTAATATGGGACAAGGAGGGGAGACACCATGGGGAGAAAGGGAGGGGGGACACTCAGGGAAAAGGGGGACACTATGGGGAAAGGGGGCACCCAGGGGAAAGGGGACACTCATGGGGA